TCGTAATATCCAATAATAATCGGAAAATTCTTTAAAATGATCATAATTGAAGAAGAAAGCATTCATGTTATTGATCCTATTCAAACTTTTATCTGCACAATGGACGAATTCGAACGAAAATTATCTATTCAAAGAGGGTGGGTGTGGGTGTTGAAGAATGAAGAGACGACCCACTCCAACACCCATCCACACCCACACTCTCTCTTTGCTAAATATTTGCTTTTTCAAATAGACTAGTACAGAGATTCTATTCATCATTTCTTTCTCGTGATAAAATTCTTTTCTTCCAAATTCCTGATCAACTAGACAATTTAAAATAAATTGGCAATAACTATTTGAAATCAATGGTTATTTAATCGACTACGAAGCCGAATGGTTTTAAAATGAATAACACACAATCGAATTTCATTGATAGTTCAATAATTGAAATCGAACCTAATTTAAAAACATACAAAAAAACAAATAATTTATTAGCAAAAATTAGAAAAGGTTTTGATTTAAAACGTTCTGTAATAACAAAATTTTCACCTAGTCATACTAGTAGAAAAAATATTTTACGATATATTGTTTAAATCCAAATGAGAAGTTATTATTTACAAGAGGCAAAATATTCAAGTAAATAAGAAAATAATTTTCTTAAAACGAAAAGAAAAATTTCAATTAAATATTTTCTAGTCTTTTCATAATTATTGAACAATCAATATTATTTTTTCATACTAGACTTTATCAAATACAAACGTTAGTTGACCATCGATGCCGTTTTTGTAGAATAGATGCTTTCAACATAACACGATTTTCAGTCAAAAAGTAGATTACAAGATAACATCTAAATAATGATTCCAACGTTTAGGTTCGAATTATAATAGTGAAAATGTAAAAATTGAAATGAAATTTCTAAGCTCATAATTTGACAAGAGTATCTCGTTGGAAATCCTTTCTAGTGGGATAAAAATGAACAAACATGTCGTATTAAAACTTTCCAGTCACACTTGATCAGTTAAGATATATAGAATAGATATCTTATATAGTTTTTCAATTGTGTATATCTAATAATTTTAACAAATAGCTTTTTTCCTATTGGAAATCTTAATATTTTTACTGGGATCTGTAGTTTTTGATTTTAATGAAGTTTTTAAATTCTTGAATGTTGTTGCTGAGGACAAAAGTGACCAATCCTATAAGATTCCATAATTGGTATATGGCTGGCCAGAATATTACTACTTGATACGTCACGAGTTGCTCTAGAAAATGGTACAAATGACTTTATCTATTGAACGTTTGTTATCTGTTCTGACAAAGTTCTTTAAAATGAAATATTCTCGTCTGTTACAACCAATGAATAGAATTCAATCATTAAAAACAGAATTATTATTTAATAATTTATCATCAGCAAATATTGGAATTGATTCAATAAATGGAACATTTGCTAGAATTCGTTGTGATTCATTAGATTCTATTGATAAAGGATATCCATGTAGTCAATCAGTTATATTTATAACAGAAGAAAGTAGTATGTAATCAAGATTTGTTTTCTCTTTGTTTTATGATATAATTTTTTTCTGGTTTCTTCAAAATCAATAGAAGTTTTCTTTCCTGCTGTTGATTATTGACATGCAAGAATGATATGGCAACCACTAACGTAATTAAATGAAATTCTAACTGGTGTAACAAACTCGACTCTAGCTGGAAGTTAGTTTATATTTGTAAGAAAATTGTCACCGATGCTAGGCCTCAAGACCCAAAAGCTAATCACTTACAGTATTATATGAAGGGATAATAGTCTAAGTTAAATGATTGTTTATATGAATTTTTGTAAATGACTAGTTTAGCTATATTTAATTTTATCGTTGATTTATTCAAATATATTAAAAAAATGATTTTCATTTGGAATATGAAATTTTATTCATTTACATGGATCTGAAAAAACAACATTAAAGCTTTTTTTCATTCTTTGTGCAAAAAATTGAATAATCATTTATTAATAATAGATAAACAAGATAGACAGTAAAAACTCTTATTTACTAGGAAAACAAAAGAAAATTTTAAGATCGATCTGTTGCTTCATATCCATTAATAATAATTATATATGAACAAGAATAAACAACATGATAGAAACCCTATGATCGAATTAATATATCTGATGGATGAATAACAATATTACTTATTCAAAAGTAAAAACCAACTCCTTAATTTTAAATTGTTTTTCTAAAGAAAATCATTCCTCTTTCAGTTTAGTAGCAAAGAAGTTTTCAATTGTAGGACTTTCATCTACTAATCCCATGTATCGACGAAACATTTTGAGAGAATATTTCTTCATTTTTGAAGTCAAAAGTATTTTCACAGGAATCGAACGATAAGAGCTCGCTCCTTAGGTATTTTTCGACTGCAATAAAAATAATAATATCGACGAAAACAAAAATTGGTTTTTGACAGAAAATAAGTCATGCGCTACTGATAGTGTTTGTTCAAATTGAGTCATATATGTATATTTTATTTACTACCATCAATATTCAACTGAAAAATTGATTATATATCAGCAAATCAATCATATGAAATCGAAATTTATCTTAAAGTAGACGTATTGAAGTGATTTTTATTTTCAATTTTTTTTCTTAATAAAGAATTTTGTTTCAATTGATAATAATACTCGTTTAAAAGTTTCAATTCGATATTACTGATTTGATTTCAACAGAAATATTCATTCGATGGGATAGAAATCGAATTTTATGAAAACTTTTTAATTTTCTATACAATTATTTGGCTTTGTCTTAACGAGTTTTCATGTAATGACAGTACAGCCGCATTCAACAGACTTGTTGATCTTGTGTTTCCAAGAAAATGAATATGTTCATTTGAATAATGCACTCGAATCAATTTTCAAAAGTCGTACGAAAAAATAATTCTATGATTTATGATTCATATTAATTGCTTTTATTTTTTCGATGATGATGCTGATGAATAGAAATTTCTTCTGATCCAAAAAAAAAGAAAGAAAAGAATATGTATTGTCCATGAAGGACTGTATATGAACAAAGGACAAGTATTCACATCCATGCACATGAAAAACAATGAAATTGATTCGTGTCTCATCATCGTCAATTATCGTTCGTCAAATTGATATCAACATCATTAGAATGTCTTTGATTGGCAATGTATGTTTAAAAACATATATATATATATATGAAACACATTTTCACCAGTATTCTCATACGATTCGATCGAACAAATCATGAGCATGCTCAATAAAGATAAAACATGACATTCACATGATTTATTTTTTACGGATTATAATTTTTTATATTACTTATAATGATTAGTATTATTTTACATTATGATTTTTCATGAATGACATACAGTTATCAATTTATAATTATTTACAATATTATAAATGAAATATATTTACAATGCTACGTATGAGTTTATAATGTATGAAAATGTATACATTTATAATGAAATTTGCTACATAATGTTATGTTAAACCTTTGAACTCTATAGTAGGAAAAAGAAATCTATACATGTTTAATAATTATTATGTAATTTACTGAAATGTAGCAATAAAGAATGTTCAACGGTGTGGATGTGGTGGGTGTCAAGTTAGTAGATAGAGGTGTGTAGGTGTGAGCGTGTGAATTCGTATGCGAGCATGTCGGTTTTTATCTGGACGTGTCAGTGTCCAGCAGAAATAATTTGGGACGCAAAGAATTAAAATACATTAGTTTCCGATGATATTTATTGATCGATATTATATAATGATGCATTTTTTTAGAACGAAATCTAGGGGTGGGTGTTATTAAAATTCATTCCTGTACAATTCAATAAATGCATTATATTACAATGAAATTTATCAATTTCATGGTGTATTAAAATGTTTTGATTTACAATGGAACTTATTGTATGATATTATGTTAAACTTCATTAATTTACAATGATATTCATTGAATCATATTATATTAAAATGTATTATTTTAGAATGAAATTTATTGAATGATGTTATTTAAATTCATTGCTTTACAATGCATTAATTTATAATGAAATTCATTCATTCAATGATGATATATTATAATTCATTTTTTTATACAATGTTTTTGATTTCAATGATAATATATGCTAGGATATATTGATTTATGATAGAAATTTATTCTATGATGTTTTTAAAATTCATCTGTTTTTTTTTTAATTATATGAAATTACAAAAAAACATAAGAATGTTAAAAAAGAATATGATTTATTATTGATTTATACCAATAACAAGATTGGGTATGTTGCTTCAAAAATAATCTTATATATCTTGAGAAAGACTTGAACACATAAATAAATAGTTGAAAAATTAAAAAAAAACTTCTTTTCTGTTTTCTTGAAGGTTGTGTACCTTATCGCCGAAAATATGATCACCGAAAACGCACATCGCCGAAATCACATGCAAATTTTCGCTAAAATTACATGTGCTTTCGGCGACATGAGTTTTCGATGATCTTATTTTCGGCGATGAGGATTCATACCTTCTTGAAAGAACAATTCTAAATTAAATTTTCATAACAATACTTACATTGAGATAATGTTAGAATGAGATATAGATGATTTATTTCGGATGAAATAATTGTTTTCTTCGTTGTTGTACACATTTAGTGTATATTATTACTATGTTAAGTCGATGTTATTTATGTTAGAAGATATATACCAATTTATATCACAACCTTGCCAGGTGGCTTCGTAACCTGATCCAGAGAGAGATTCTATTCGTCATGGAATGGCGAAAGCAGTGAAGTACTCGGGAAGGTCTTTAATGTACGTAGGTCCCTGTCATCATTATGTACGGCACACCTATGTACATTGCCCTACCAGTCCGGCGTGGTCCGCTCTGTGTGTACCTGTATCATATCCATAGGGCCTCTCCCTGGTCGCGCGCGCGCGTACGCATGAAAATGAGCCTAGAAAACTCGAGAAGTGAAAAGGAATCAAAACCAATTTATTCAGCAAGTAAACGAAAAAAAAAAAATAAATTACATTTTCTTTCGAATTTTTTCAAATGTTTCTTTATATTCCAAAAAATGAGGATGAGTTGAAGGTAATTTTTCTTGAGCTATTTCAACTGCTTGTTGAGTATTTTTCATTGCCATATTATATTGTCGAGTAGATAAATATAATTTTGCCATATTATGAAAAACTACAGCTAAATGAGGATGATTTTTTGGTAATTTCTTCTCACGTATTTCTAATCCTTTTTCGAAATATGTCAATGCTGTTGAATAATTTTTCATTTCACGATAAGTTTCACCTAAATTTATATATGTCGTTGCACATTCCAGAGGATTACAGTGAACATTTTCTTGAATATTTAATGCTTTTTGATGAAATGCAAGTGCCTTTTCATAATTACTCATTAATCGATGAACATCACCAATATTACTATAAGTAACAGCCTGATAGGGATGTTTTTCAGGAAACGTTTTTAGATCTATTGCGAGACACTTTTCGAAATACTCAAGTGCCCTTGAGTAATCTTTCATACTGCGATAAACTCTTCCGAACCAATTATATGTTGAAGCAAAAGCTGGATTACCTTCTTGAAATGCTTGTTGTTGAATTTGAAAAGCACTTCGAAGAGCCTTAAGAGCTGCGGCGTAATCACCCATTCTTTCGTAACATGCTGCGAAATTCAAGTGACTACCAGCCAAATGAGGGTGATTCGGAGGCAGAGCTTTTTCTCTTATTTGATGTGATTTTTCATAAAATTCAAGTGCTTTCAAATAGTCACCCATGTTGTTATACACGAGACCGATGTTGTTGTGGGAAGTAGCCAAATCGGGATGATTTGGAGGCAGAGCTTTTTCGTAGATTTTATGTGATTTTTCGTAAAATTCAAGTGCTTTCGAGTAGTCACCCATGTCGTTATACACTCCACCGATGTTGCCGTAGGAAATAGCCAAATGGGAATGATTTGAAGGCAGAGCATTTTCAAAGATTTTATGTGCTTTTTCGTAAAGTTCAAGTGCTTTCGAGTAGTTACCCATTTTGTTATACACTTGACCGATGTTGTTGTAGGAAATAGGCAAATGAGGGTGATTCGGAGGCAGAGCTTTTTCGTAGATTTGATGTGATTTTTCATAAAATTCAAGTGCTTTCGAGTAGTCACCCATGTCGTTATACACTTGACCGATGTTGTTGTAGGAAGTAGCCAATGAGGAATGATTCGGAGGCAGAGCTTTTTCGTAGATTTTATGTGCTTTTTCGT